AAAAAGATGGTGCCTCACACGTGTGACTCAGACCCTTAGACACACACCACACACTCACACGTGCGACTAAAATTAAAATTTTAAGTTGTGCTTTGTTGACATGATTTTATATAGCTGGTGGTTAATACTTAATTATATAAGTTTATATTATCATAACTATATGTAAAATAATTAAATAAAGAAGAGGAAAAAAAAAAATCATAATTATAAATAGAGATATAATAAGAAATAGACAATAGTTCTATCTATTTTGATCTATATGAAGTGTTCTTTTGTTATAACATTAATAGTTCGATCCGAATTGTAATTTAGCACAACGAACATTACAACATCAATTGTTCTATCTATTTTGATCCATATGAAGTGTTCTTTTGTTATAACATTAATAGTTCAATCTGAATTGTAATTTAGCACAACAACATTACAACATCAATTGTTCTATCTATTTTGATCTATATGAAGCGTTCTTTTGTTATATGAATAAAAAAGATATATTACATCAAATCATAGAAAACATATATGATAGTGCTCTTTTTCATATAAAAAAAGAATTATAAAAAATAAACAAAATACATCAAATCATAAAAACAATATGGTTGTTGTCTAAACTTAATTGCTAATCCATCATACTCTTTCAGCATATACACATACTTTTAAATTCAAATAACATATTTTATTAAAAAAAACAATAAAAGTAAAAAAGTGACATTTCATAAAATTAACATATATTCTTGTTAATAAAGTATGACTGCCTAACGGTTAGACAATCTCACGACAAAACTTATCATCATAAAAAAGTTCAGAAACACCATAGCTTTTTTCATCCCAAACCTAACTACAAAAATAAATAATAATAATAATAATAATAATAATACTAATAATAATAATAATAATAATAATAATAATAATTAAAAAAAAAAATAGTATGAAACTGTATCGGCCAGCCTCATACAACAGCTGACAAGCAAATAAAAATCCAATCTTTGCACGCCCCCCACAAGCGGAAAAAAGGGTTAGACTTGGACACATTACAATACAAAAAACTCTGTTCACCAGCCCACATCTTTGCATGGCCCTAACGTACACGGCGGCGGAGCCCACCGCCGCTAGATGCCGCCGGAGGCTCCACCTCCACCTCAAGCACCGCCACAAGGGCTTCTTCTCCCTCTTCACCGGAATATTCCACAAGAGGTACCTCCTTTTCCTCTCGATCGTCTACATTGTGGGGCTCATCACCTGCGCCGGCCGCCTGCTCGCCATCCTTCACCCTCCGCCGCCGCCGCCTCCGGGGTCGCTGTACCGGAGCCAAGAGCTGTTTCTGAAGCTGTGGCCCGAAATTGAGTCGGATAATGCTTCTGTTGTTGAGGTTTTCACACTTTCTTGTTTTTTTTTGTGCATTTATGGTGATGGTAAATGGGAGTTTTTAGGTCAAAATTGAAACTTGTTTTGTCCCTTTTCTTGTCTGTTTTAGCACTATTTACTTACTAATTTCATTATTCTGTAAGGATTTGTGTGTGAAGTGTACGGATCCATGGCTGATGGGAGTTGCTTTTTCTTGATTTTTTTTTGGGGGGTTGGTTGAAATTTTTGTTCTTGGGAGCTTGTGATATTTCCTCCTTTGGTTATAAGTAAATTTTGTTTTATAATTTTGGGAAAGTGAAATAAAGAACAAATAATCTGAGGCTGATTAATTGAGAGGCATATCACTTGTTTTAGAATGTAAATTGCTGAAAAAAGTTAGCTTCTTTTTGCTTAGCTGTTGTTTGAGATTTTTCTTCATCCTATAAAAGATCATGTGTTTTGTGTTTTCAGTTGGATAACATATGGAGATACCGAAGAAAGAAAGAGCAACGAACATGTTCGAACGGTTACGATCATCAGCAGCTACACAGCACGGGTATTTTCCATCTCTTAATGTTCTGTATTTTTATGGGTGATTGTATTATTCTAACAAATGTCTTCAATTTGTATTATTCTGTAATTGAGGCATATTTATCTTCCTTTTAACAGTCTCATTAGGGACTCAACGCTATTTGGTTGTGGAGGCTAATGGTGGCTTAAACCAACAACGGTCATCGGTATGAAATTCGAGCACTTTCTTGTCACATTTTTTTTTTTTGTTTTTTGCCAAGTCTGATTTAATTATCTAAGAATTCTTTAATTCCAAATTGCAAGAATAATTCAATTTATATGATAATTACAGTGGTAGCCATACAAAACCTGTTCCATTTCATCTTTAATGAGTTTGCTACTCCTTATTCAGTGTGTTTAAAACTTTAACAATCAAGCTTTTTTGTGAGAAATATGATTTCAAGCTACTGTTTTTAAAATTTCTTCCCATTAAATGCTGCTAAATTTTATTAGTCTTTCATTTTTCTTCTTCTTATTATTATTATTTTTTTTTTTTTATCGAAAGCGAAAAAGAACACAAATTTCAAATGCAGATTGCATAGATTCCATTTATTATACTCATTAATGTTCTAGTGGGGAATTTTTATTTGGTTAAACTGTATTTTCCCCCACATCTGTAATTTATGTTTCGCCTTAGATATTTAACCTTTATTCTGTGTACTTGTAGTTTACTCGGTTCTATTTCCAATATGCAGATTTGCAATGCTGTGGCTGTGGCTGGACTGCTTAATGCTACTCTCGTCATCCCTCGATTTGATCTTCATAATGTTTGGAAGGACCCAAGGCAAGTTCTATTTGTTAATCCTTAAGCCATTCATTTTCATCGAAAGTCATCGAAATGCAAATGATTTTTTCTAACTTCTGTGATCAATATATGTTATGTGGTTAAACCTTCTATGTTTATTGTTTCACTTTTTTTTTTTCCTCTCCTGTGGTAACTTTCAGTGGGTTTGCTGATATTTATGATGAGGATCATTTTATATCCTCGTTAAAAGATTTTGTGACGGTGGTTCAAGATTTGCCGAAAGAAATAATGGACAGCTATAATTATAGCATCAGCAATATTCCAAATTTCAGAGTGCAAGCTTGGGCATCAGCTCGGTTTTACTTGGACGAGGTTTATCCTGTCTTGCAAGAATCAGGGTATATAGTCATTAATTTTTTTTTTTTTTTTTTGCCTCTGTTTACTGAGTTCAGCTACAATTATCGTGCAACAGTATGTTAAAAATATCACACTGCCCGCAAAACACTATTTCCCTTTTGCTTTTGTGAACTATTCATAATAATAAAAATTGGCTTTAACATAGTTATTAGAAATTCTCAATTGATAGTTAAAAATTACAAATACATGCTTCTTGATTTTTTTTGTTTTTATTCAACTTTTTTCCTATGCAGAGTTGTTCGCATTTCTCCCTTTGCAAACAGACTTGCAACGAGCATACCACCACAAATACAGTTCTTAAGATGCCTAGCAAACTATAAGGCTCTTAAATTCTCCCCAACCATTATGAATCTTGCTAAGAAAGTAGTCAGTCGAATGACTGCAAAGAGCATAAATTCTGGCGGGAAATATGTGTCGGTTCATCTCAGATTCGAGGAGGTAATTTCTTATATATCATTTATTTTTAACTGCTTAATAAAAGTGGTTTTGCCTTAAAAAAACGCACGCCATGTAGGATATGGTGGCCTTCTCGTGCTGTGTGTATGACGGTGGAGAAGGAGAGAAATCTGAACTGAACTCAATTCGCGAAAAGGGCTGGGCAAAAAAATTCATGCAAAAAAATCGAGTCTTTGCACCCGAACTCAATCGTGTTAATGGAAGGTGTCCCATGACACCAGTGGAGGTTAGTTTTGTATTAATAAAAAAAAAAAAATAATAATAATAATAATAATTGTCAAATTCATCTATAATATCTCAGATTTGGTCCCTAATTTGTACAAGAATGGTGTCAGTTAATGATGAACTTTTCGAATTTCGGCACATTTGAGCTCGATTTCCTCCTGATAATATTCTAACTTTTGGGCATATGTTAATTGTCAGCATAGGTTGGTATGATGTTAAGAGGTATGGGATTTTCCAACGATACCCCTATTTATTTGGCCTCCGGCAAAATTTACAAGGAGGAAAAATATCTTGAGCCCCTTAAAAAGATGTTCCCACTTCTATATACAAAGGAGTCGCTCTTTACAGCTGAAGAACTTTCTGAAATCCAGGTAAAACTCCCAGCAAATTAATTTCGGTATATTATGTTTTATTTTTATTTTTTTCCCTCGGCCGAATTAGAGTAATAAACAAAACCTTTATGATTTTCAGGGCTATTCTTCGAGGCTAGCGGCATTGGATTATATGGCGTGCTTGTCTAGTGAAGTATTCGTGACCACTCAAGGAGGAAATTTTCCTCATTTTCTTATGGGTCACAGAAGGTTTTTATTCAATGGGCACGCAAAGACTATCATGCCCGACAAGAGCAAGCTCGTTGTTTTACTCCAGAACACGAGCTTAAGGTACAACTATTGACCAAAGGAAAAGGAACAAAAAAAATAAAAATGCCAACTTTATCGTCATTTTTTTGTTTGGTAATTTGTATGGCTAACAACTACACGACGATTTTTTGCAGTTGGGATTATTTCAAAGATGAGATGGAGACAATGCTTGCCGAAAGCGACCGAAAGAGCATAATGGTGCCAAGAGTAAAAAAATCGACAAGAAAGGGTTCTATATACCTTAACCCCTTGCCTGAATGTAGGTGTTTATGGGAGTCGCAAAAATCGAGCACCCCATGAAATTTGCTTTCAAGCATGAAAAGAAAGAAAGAAAAAAATCGAGCAAGTGTTCTCGGTTGCATCAAGTTCACTCGCCGGAGGAAAAAAAAAAATTCTTGGCCGTGGCTTGAGCCGAGCAAAAGAAGTACGAGTGATCATAATGGACATGAGGTTTTGAGATGGAAATATGCTTGCTTGATCTAATAGTGACATGGATTTTTTATTTTTTACTTTTGTTCTTTTTTAATTATAACTTGTAATTAAAGTATTTTTGGGATTGTTGTAAGCTTTAGAATGACTTGTTGCTAAGGTTATGGGACTGGCGACTGTTGGTTGATGAATTATTAAGTGTGAAAATATCAAAATATTAGAAGAATCAAGAGAGCTAATTTATTATTCATGTACTCATGTATTTCTAACTTCTAATTTCATCTATTAGTTATTTTATTATATATTTATTTTAATTTAATTTTATTATTTTACTTTCCAAACACAAAAATTAAAAATACACTTTTTGTAATTCCACGTGGAAGGTCTTGTTGTCACATCATTAAAGCTAATAAATCAACACTAGCTCAAATGGGACTTGAGCCATCACGGGTGCCGAACTATGGGGACTCCTACAAGAATTGTAATTTGCATGGGAGTTGGGATTTCGCCAAGTTATAATGGAAGTGGACAGGCAATGTGTAGTGAATATGGCTACTAGCTCAAATGGGGACTTTGGAGCTCATACGGCAATAGTTCGGGCTATTCGCCACATGATGCAAAAGAGTTGGAATTTGAGGATCTACCATGTGCATAGAGAAGCTAATTTTGCGGCGGATTACATGGCAAGTTTGGCGGCTTCGTCCTCGATAGGATTGCAACGGTTATCGGACCCTCCTGATGGCCTCGGACCATGGCTTGACCATGATCTTATGGGGGTCTCTTACCCCGACGAGTCCTACTCTAAACTTTTCCTAGGCCTTTGGCCTCCTCTACTGTATTAAAAAAAAAAAAAAAAATCAACACTAGTATCAAATTTGCTAAAGTTGGGCACGTTACAGTTGTTGGTCTTCATATTTATTTTTTTTTTGGTTGACCCACCTAATTATAAATGGCAAGTCATTTTTTACACATATATAGCTAAAACTAACACCTTTGATTTGTTTGACCATTTCAAATTATTAAAATTTAAGGTTTGACCATTTCATCATGTAACGGTCGTGGATAGTTGATCTGGATAGTTGATCTAACGGTTATAAACCTCGACATAATGATTTCGTAACGGGATCGTAGAATCTCCCTCCTATAATTAATTTTGAATATTAAAATTTTCTATTCCAAAATCACATTAAAAATTTATGTTTTATTCTGTTGAATGAATTACAGAGTTATACACCGTGTCAATTTTCTTATGGAATTGAAACAAACTTTCATAATTAAATTGTTAGACAAACCTAACAGTTAGATCATACGTATATCTATACTTTTTCCATGAATTAAATAATAAATATACATATATACTTTCAAACATAAATTCCTACTCCACAAAGCAACATAAACAAAAATATATCATTTAATAATTAACACAAGAATAAATTATTAAAACTATTAAAACGACAGAATTCGTGTTAGGCCGACGTGTACTCTTTTTATAAGTATGCATAATTTTATTAGAAAATGTAATATTTTAAAGACATAACATGATATTTGACAGTATAAGTATATATGTATTTGTTAATAGAGTATAATTGGTCGACCTGTCTAATAATAGACTTGTCCAATAGTTAGACAGTCTCACATAAAAAATTATATTACTGAAAAATAAAAAGTATCGAATCGACCCGTCTGACGGTTACGATAACTCACATGCATCAAATTTTAAAGAAATACTACAATCACGTGGCAAAATGATACTCGCAATTCATTATAACTCATCAGATCTTTCATTATTATATATATATATAGGGAAATGTTATATATGGTCTCGTTACAGTATCATCTTGTCGGGTATCCGACGAGATGATACTATAACGGGACTGTAGCGTTTTGCTATATATATAATTATAACAATTGATCATTTATTATATTATTGAGGGAAAGCGTATCACGACATTGCTCCTTCACCTTAATTTCCATGCTTTTTCTTAATAAACAAGCTAGTCAACTTATTTCCCATTATATTATTACAAACAACACCACAATAAAACCTAAACTAAACTAAACCTCTCCACATACACTATGACAGAACGCAGAACATTCGAGATAACCCTGATCTCGGCCACCGACCTCGACTCCGCCGGCCTCCGCTGCTGCCCGTCCCTCTTTCCGACGCGGGCTTACGCCTGGGTTTCGGTTTCCGGCAAGGAGAAAAAAACCCCCGTTGACCGACATGGACAATCGAACCCCGCCTGGAACTTCTCCATGGCCTTCTCCCTCCGTGAGTCCGCCGTCCGGAGCTACAACGCCATGCTCATCGTCAAGATATTCGGCCGGCGGCGGTTCGTTGGCTTCCGGGACAGGTACATTGGGGAGGTCCACACGCCGGTCAAGGAGCTGTATGACTACGCCGAATTGACCGGCGGGAACGCCATGCTGAACCTACCGCTGACGAAGGGGTGCGCAGCGGCGGCGCGTGGGTGCTTGAGGTTCGCGTACAGGTTTAGCGACACGGTTATGTTGGATAAGAGCCCGAGGCGGAGGCCCGAGAGTTTCGTGGGGTGGACCCACTGCTGAATTGTAGTATTATTTTTGAGAGATGCTACGATCTCGTTACGGAATCATTCTGTCGGAGTTTGTAACCGTTAGATCAATTATCCCTGACGATTACTTGATGATCTAACAGTTACAAACCCGACGGAATAGTTATGTAAAAGGACCGTAGTATTTTCTATTATTTTTAATATTTGTTGTGTCGGCTTTTGTAATTATTTCTCTCTTTTTTTATTTATTGTATTATGTCCCTTAGATTTTGTCTAATTACAAAGGCGGCCTCCACTTCAGAAAAAAAAGAAACATGTATGAGTCTACGACTATGGTCAATGAGACTACGAGGCTTGTCTGAGTGGGATTGTTTGTGATTAGGAAAAATCTTGGGGTGGTTATGTAATTTAATTTTTCTTTTTTTGTTGGGTGTATTTACTATTTAGTTCTCTACCTTGGTGTGTAGAGTCGAAAGGTTGTATAAAATTCGATTGCCTTTTGTAATTTGTCTTTTGGTTTGTTTTGATTTGATGTATTGGAAAAAATATATTGTATTTACATTATTGATTTTTTTTTTTTTGATTGGTTTTTTTTAAGCCCGCCAACGGTATTTGGAATTACGCCTCGATTAATTGAGTTGGTCGACTCAGGTCGCACACCTAACAGTAGTAGGTGAATCTCCCAACGAAAATTTTCTGCATCCACAAGCTGGACTCGAATCCGAGACCTCACTTAAAATATATTAAACTGTTTATTACTTGAGTCAACCTACAATTTTCTAAAAAATACATTATAATAGCGTTCATTTTAGTTTCTACCACAAAATTCTATCTTATACAAGTTGCTCATTAATTTATTAATCTTGATTATCAGAAAATGGAATTAACATATATCTGATCAATTTTGTCCTTTTTAGTTTCTAATATATTATATTAAGTTGACGAGGACTATAATTTCTAGGTCACTTCGTAATTTCTAGTTTGTATAATAGAAGTGTATTTTTGAATCTATTAAGTTTAAGCACAATAAGTTAATTATAGATAATTTAATTAACTCATTGTTGTAATATAGATTAACAATATGTAAAATCTATGTGTAAAATAGACAAAGATAG